AAATAAGGGCTGGAACTGATTAAACAAGTCTGCTGATTTATTAATATCCTATAAACTATTCTTCTCAAGTGTCACAGAAAAAGCATGCTGTGTAATTCACCTCATACAAATTTGTCAGCCACACCTTTGGTGTGAGATTGCTGCTGAGCAAGGACTTTACTATTTCTGTCACCTTCTCAGTGCCAGCACCGCAAGTCAGCAACTCCTTTTAATCACAGCAAGTGAGGCAGCAAGGAACGTACAGCACAGATGAACATCTGTCAGGAATAGCAGAGGGCACCAGACCAAGCCACACGCAGTCCTGATCTCTTTCAATTACATATTCAATGGCTCTGTGAACTGATAGGGGGTCCAAGGGTTGTGATGAAATGCAGGCTACGCGAAAGTGTGACATCTTCAAAAATATCCAGTAATTTTGAAAAGTATATCCATGAACTGGAGCTCCAAGGTGCCCTAGATATTCCTGAAAATGCTACTTGACATTTCTCTAATTTGAAAAGCTGGTGTTCAAGCATGAAAGATCGTATGAAGTCAGAATGCAATTAAAAATAATATTGAATAATATAGATAGCTCTTAACAAAATCTTAATTCTCAAATTTAATTGCATAAAATAGTGTAATGTTACTAGGTTAATGGAGAAAATATTATTATGGAAATAACTTTTTTAGTATGCTTCATTACAAAAACAAAAAAAACACAGATTTGTAATCTCAGCCCTCTGTAAGAATGTCTGAGCTCTCAAAAAAGATGAAAAGTAATTTCAACTCCAAGCAAACACTGTGTGAGGTAGGGAGTCACTGTGCCACCAAATCTGCACGTATAACAATGTCTGTGCAAGGTGATTCTTATCATCACATGTTCTGGGAACTTGATAATCTTTTTGTACTTACACTTATGACACATCTGTGAGGAAAGAGTGTTATCTACATTTTACAGATGGGAAAAGAGCAATCAAATTATTTGCTTAAGATCAACAGAAGTCCAGTATGGAGGGAGCTAAATCTCAGGCTAACATTTTAAAACTGGCTGTACCTTTTTGTTGGCAAGTCTTTGATTAATATTTACCTAGTTTTCACCCTCTGCAACACTCTAATACTATAATTGTTTGCATGTTTCTTTATCTAAATGTCCAAATTACTATTGCTTTGATATTTGTCCTGACTGAGACATGGCATTGTTTTATTCTGCTAACAAAAAAAAAAAAAAAAAAAAAAAAGAAAACCAGCAATAATATACTTCTCTCACTGACACCTCCTTTTGCATAGAATCTATAACTTCAATAATAATTATCCTAAGATTATGCCTGTGGAGAACACCATAATCACTGAACATGCTGAATAGATCGAGAAAGAGAGGTGATAAGCCTTGGCACTGAATTTGCAATGAACATTCATTTCACGTTGCCATTCTGGAAAATCTACCTTCACACAACACATCTTGCAGCTTCAGAAACACCCGGAACCTGCAGCGTGTGCCTCAACAGGAATCACAAGTGTCCAGCAGCTCTCAGAATAACAGGCCCCAGCTGCGACATGCCAAAGTTGATTTCAAAACAGGATACGAAGGAAAAGGGCCTGTAGCTCAGTGCAGTAACCCTTGGACAACATACACTTTTACCTTAACACCATGCAACAGCAATGCTCTTTATGCTGATAATACCCTGAGAAACCTGAGTTGTGTGTGACACTGCAGGAGAAGCTGCGTCCATGTAATGAAAATGAGAGCTCCACAGCACAATCACACTACAGCTGATATGGTGCTACCTTCAGAGCAGCATACGCACCATGTAAATACAAGAAAAACAAGGCACTGAAAGGATATTTTCCAGTTGTTTCCTGCCACACATCCAGTTCCTACTTCCATGCCTGACCACCAGACCTTGCTTGTTGTGAAGGGCAACAGTTCGACTTTCTCCTCACCTGCCCTGCACTCCAGCTACACCACTCACCAAGCTGCAGGCAGCACATAACCTGACCCAAAACTGGCAAGTGAAATGCAGACTGCCCAAGCATTGAGAAAAATTAATTCTTGTTTGCCATGACCTTTGGCAAAGCCTTAAGATGAGAATATCCATCTATATAATTTGTCAGTGGTCATCATGAGGCCTGCAAGTAAAGAACCTTCAGGAAAGGGAGTAATACAAATAAGGAGCCTATTATCCAATTTATGTTTTAATTTATGTGGATTAAAGTCTTCCTCTTTGGAGAGGAAGACACAAATGGTATGTATGATCTTCCAAGATTTTTCTGAGATGTTTTCAAAAGAGAAAGCTCTCAGCTCTTCCTTCACCCACTCTCTTTGAGGAATTTTCGCATCACAGGTTTGAGTTATCTGATGTTCCAGCTATGCTTTCATGGCCCTCACCAGGAGCATAAAGTGAAGACAATCATCAGACTTCTATGTAACAATACGTTAACTACAAGCCACAAAATAGTGGCAAGGACACCCCTGCAACTGCATCTCTCCCTCACGCCCCATGAATGCACAGCCTGAATCTCTCTCTGACACGGCAGAAGTGTTATTTTAAATTTTGAGGACCTTGTATTACACTGCCTAAAGGGAGGCAAACATTGATAAATATCTGAAACCAAAGTCATATGTTAAACAAGACCTCTACCATTAATTTATATGCGAAGAAGTCAGAACGTATCTTATCCTTTAGACATGAGGAAGTCCACATAAATGGCATCTTCCTGCTAAACTGAAAACCTATAGATGCACAATAATGAATCCTGTTACAAGAAAGCAAAGGTTAGAAATGCACATGCTTCAAAACCAGGCAAAATAACTAGGCAGGCTGTAACCTCAGAGCTAAATATTCAGCTCAGAGGCACACAGCCTTCAGAATACACCTTCATAATTCTAGCAAATGTTGCACTGCACACTGCTGGTGTTTTATCACTCACCGAATGAAAACTACTCATTCACATACAGAATAGTGCTCTACATCAGAAATACTGAGCAAAGGAGAGTTCAGTTTTATTAATGATGACCTCACATATATACAGGATCTAATCCTCGAGTACAGGCTGAAACTGATTGTACACAGCTAATGCACCAGAACTAAGCCAAAGACCAAATAAGAGTCATTCCAAAACGCTTCTAAGTACTCCACTGGAAATGACCTCACATTAGAACAAGGTTTCCCAGTAGAACAGACTCAGGAGAAGCATAGACAGCCCCTGGTTTTCACATGAAATGAGACCTTAAGGTGTCAGGTTCACCAACAGTTACTGCTCACGAAATTCCAGATTTCCTGTTCAGTGGTCACGGAACTAACGAAGAAAATTACGACACATGATCCAATGTAGCATACTTAGTGTGTTTTCTCACTTGGGTGGGTTTCCCAATCACCCAGACACTAATCATGAAATTCATCTGTGTTTTAAATCTCTTGGAAGTACTTCTGTCTCCCACTGCAAGGACAGTTCAGGTCAGCTCGTCTATGAACAGGATTTGGAGTCAAATCAGTCTCACCTTGGCAAGCCTGAGATCTTCCTTCTAGGAGCAATTGTTTCACACAGCTCCCCAGCACAAAGCTGTGCCACCACCTTGACTTTGGCTGGGACTCTAACGCATTTAGACCCTGGAGTCAGACCCAACCTGCTCTCATCCCCTCCTGTCTGCGCTGCAGGGGCATGGCGGGACTGCAGCCGCTCAGCTGGAAGGCTGTGTGCCGCTCTGGCTTCCTCCCTTCGGCACATGGTAGGATCATTTGCTCAGACACATGTGAGCCTCATTGATGTCACGTCAGTCCCTCTGAATGTCCTGTGAAACCCTTCTGGAGTAGCAGGCTATGGTCAGATCTCACGCGTTTCAGAAACCAGGCTGAGAACATCTCCAAAATCTTTGCTGCTGTGCTCCACAGCTAGGCTACAAAGTCAATGCAGGTTGTACTGTTTCTGACAATCCCTCCTGCTCTTATCTATCCTGTAGCTACAGCACAACTGCAATCATTACGTCCAAAAAATAAATAATAACCCTGGGTTTAATGATCTGTAATAGGCTTCCTTCAAAACTCTGTCTCAGCTTCTCTGATCCACATCCGCACATGTATTAAGGTCCAATGTCCAAAGGCCTTTGTGAAAACCCACCTACACTGCAACTCCTTGTCAAAATATTCATAGGTGCAAAGATGCCAGTGAGAATGATAACCAGGCACTGGTCAGGTAGATTTTTAGATTAAAAATGGAGATCAAATTATGGCTGTCCTGCTTATTTAGATTATAAAATTTATAAGGAAAAGGAATATCTTTCACTGAGTCTAAATACACTTGCTAGCACAAATTAAACCTAAAGATTTAATTAAACATGACTGCAGTGCAAATTATTACCACTTTAATAATGACAGTCTGGAAGGTTTATAAAAGGGAAAAAAAGAATGAATCCTGAATTTCAAGATCAAAATGTTTAATCCTCAGATATTTCAGCCTTAAACAGAAGGGTTCTAGAAAGCTCTTAGCTTTCAGGCAGCTCAACACGGGTAGGGTGAAAACAATTCATGCAAGAGCTTTGGTTAAACTCCCTCACTGAAGACCACCCCTTGAAAAAAAAAAAAAAAAACAAGAATAAAACGCCTTGTACATGCCCTTGAAGGCTGGCACCTGACACTGCCGTGTTCACGCCCCCCTGTCTCTCTACGTGCTCAGCATGCACCTTGCTTAGATAGCTCCACAGAGATTGCTGAACTAGGAAGTCCAAAAATGCAACAAAATTCCCTTATTGTTCTCATCAATGCAGTAACTATTTTTCTTAGCACCATGTGCTAGGCAAATCATCGCGTGTTCAAGTTTTAATCTATCTCATCCAGCATGGAAAAATACTACCCAGCATGTCTTCATTGTTGGAATGTTATTTATAGCCATCCTTTTTATGAATAAAGACCTGCTCCTAAGTCAGCTGTCAGATTTCCCATTGTTATTACAGTTGTGATCCTCTGCGACCCCACCACTGACGCTGTAGTAGCCATACCCTTCACCTGGGAGCCTGAATCTGTTGGTAAAGGCACGAGCATTTATTAGGTTTCTTTTTAACTTCATCCCTCTGCAGAGACCAGGCTTTGCTGGAGGATCAGGCTTGCTCAGGGCAGCCAACATAATGCCACTCCACGACATTTATACCCCTTCATGGAGGGGCACTGGGTCAAGCAGCCTGCTCCTCTTGCACCCAGTGCAGGATTGGATGGAGTCGTATGCCCACGGACAGAGAAGTATCTGAGGGAAGGGGAGAAGTTGTACTTCCTCCTCAGCTGTATCGAAATCCAGCCCTGAATGAAAAATAGAAATTGTGTGTATAACAGAAACTGTAGAACAAAAAGCAGCCACAGCACTTTTCTGTGCACACCTTTGTTTGTTGAACATAAAGCCTGAATTGCAGTGAATCAGGCATGTGAAATTGAAGTGTTCAGATAGGAAGAGGGGACAGAAAAAAAAAAGTATCTGTACCTTATACTGTAGTACCAGAATCAGGAAAGTCAGGAAAAAGTGCTTAAAGTGGAAAAAAGAAAAAGAAAAAGAAAAAGAAAAAGAAAAAGAAAAGAAAAAGAAAAAAAAAAGAAAAAGAAAAAGAAAAAGAAGAAAAAAAGAAAAAAGAAAAAAAGAAAAAGAAAAAGAAAAAAGAAAAAGGAAAAAGAAAAAAAATAAAAAGAAAGCAGGAAGTAGTGGGAGAGAGCAGATAAGTGCAATCTCAGTTAATTCACTAAGTGCAAAATCCTGTGTAACGTAAGAAGTGCTTGTGCATGCCGCAACCTAATAACCTTTCCTGTGGTACGCACGCCAAGCAGATCATCATTTTCAGTCTCGACCAATCTGGGCTTGAGGGTTGCTGGCTAGGTTTTGCAGGGGGAGGGAGGAATTTTTATATTGTTTGTTAGTTTCATGGCTTTTTTTGAAACAAAATGCTAACCTGAATATACAAATTCACAATATCTGAAGTCATGTGGACTGTCAGAGAAAAAAGCTGCCAGTAATAAAAATGTAACATTTTACTAAAAGGTTTCTAGATGTGCATAGGTTGCAAAGCATTATTTATTACAGGATAGTTGTTTTCAGAGCTAGAAACCCTTTTCCTTTTGACATTCATTTTGGAGAAATGAATAAATTTAGGCAAATCAGGAGTAGGGTAAATCTGGAGAAATTACAAAGGGGAGGAGTTCACCTTCCTGGCTATGGCTTTCAGGTCTGTCCAGGACTACTTACTCCAGTTATAAAACTGAGAGCAGAAATATGATCACATACTAAGGAGTCTAATCAATCCTGGTTTCAACACTGAGCCTATTTAAAATAGATAATGGAATTGCTGTTCCTTGTTCTATTCTCTGTGCACATTCTCAAGACAGAGGCAGTAGGTAAGTCCTTGCCTGTTCTTTCTAACCCCATATAACAAGGTTACTCTTATTATGATTTATTTCTGAGTGTCAGTGCCTACAGGGCAAACTCTCTAGTCCTTCTATTTGAAAAATGAAGAATGTTTTATTTGTTTCTCTGCCTTTCTCATTTGTGGGAAAATATCAAATATAGATTTCTCTCATGAATGACTGTGGGTTTTTTTTCACCTTTAGAGATTCTAGTTGCCTTACTTGTCCAATAAAAATCAATGGGGTTTGACTTGATCTCTGTGGTTACTTATATATGTAAATTCAAAACATTAACAAGTAAAATATTTTTTTTTGTCCAAAAACTTCTTAATATTTCAAATAGCTTGTTTTAGATTTCTACTCATATTGCTTTGCCATTTGTAAGATTAAATTCTCATAGTTGCCTACTGAGGGAGAAAGAACAGTATGTCTTTTGCTGCATTAGCCCAGCAGATCCATCTATTTTTGCACTCTGTGCACTATGTACATAAGTGCAGTACGCACTTATGATGACTAGATTAAATCACAATCAATAATTAGTATTGAAAAACACAGCAGGTATTTTTATGCTTCTATTAGGTCAGCAATACTGTAACATTGAATAAATAGTCTTTCCTATGTGAATATTAGCACACAGTCTCAAAATTAAAAATAAACACTGCAGTCCTTAATGGTAACGAAGGGTCTATTGTTTGCACTAAAATAGACTAGACTGCATTAAGGAAAAAAAGAGATACAATATTATCAGAGGTATCAGAGGGAAGCACTGCACCAAGAGCCTGTTAAAGTGACATGGTTTTAAGGCAGCTCAAGATTCAGCTGCCAGACTTAAAGTAACAGAGGTTTGAGGTGCTCAGAAAGTGCCTTGAACATCACATAAGCACTGGAGTAAGAAAGGTGTTTCCCTCATTTTATTTCTCTGTTCTTAACTAATCCTCTATATCCATGACTCGGTAACTTGGCTTTTCCAGATTCATACCTTACAGTTAAATATCCCCCTCTTCTTTAGTCCGTATGTTTTAGCTGTTCTGTCTCTGGAGGCTTCCTACATGTGTTACAGGTACACACAGACACAAAGAACCTTTGCTCTTTCAAAGTCTACAACTATTGTTTGCTTGATAGAAAATGATTACTGATTAATTAATACTTAGCTAAATTTACTGCTCTGTTAAGGCATTTATTACAGGATCCTAAAAGGCTGCTTAGAAAACACATACAGGTTTTATTAAATCACTGTTAGTAATTAGAGTTTTAATGGAACTAGTAATACAGGGAATGCATGAATCAATTTACTGATTTTTTTTCTAACCACGATCACTTTCTTCCCTAAGTATAGAGGCAAATGGCACAGTCATTAATACTCCAGAAACTTGCTCTCCTCCCACCTTCCTTTTCAAACCTTTTCCCAATGTAGAAGCTTTACTGGGTACATTGTACTAAGTCAAAGGCTAGATATTTTAAGAAACCATGACTTTTGAGCATCAGCCCAAATTATTCTAAGTATCTGTTTTTCTATAAAAAGGAGAAATTTATTTCATTTCTATCTTTGAGTGATACCCACTTATCAGCTCATTTAACATATCTGCACCATGCCTGCTTTCTCTGCTCTGAGTAGCCTGCCAATTCACCACACTTAGATAGTCAATATAGATCCTTGCTAGTCTTTTAAGTTGCTTTCAGCCTTGACCTGTCTTAGTACCATAGCACCTATTTTTTTAAATTATTACTAGTAGTCCTTACAGGGTTTATAAAGAAGCAAGCCTCATTATCCCTAGGCTACCAAATGGAAACAAGTGCACTGGTGCAGCCACCTGCCCTTTCTGTCTTGAAACTCTGTTCAGCATCTCATCCGCTGATTTATATGCATCTCAGCATATTCCATTAACAGGGCATCAATACACCTCAGATGCCTGCTTGATTCCTTTGAGAGATCAATGACCCTCTGGAACTGCTATTAGACAGGCAGTAGTGAGGTGAAATGTCTGCAGTGTTCCAATAGGATCGTCCCAAACCTGAGAGAGAGGTTTTATTAATGGTAAATTCAGTCCAGTGCCATCCAGAGAAGAGCAATTGTAGAGGACAGTAATATACTTCCGTCTGGAAGTTTTTAGTGGAGTTACAGCCAGCTCCATGCATTACTGAAAAATAATCTGCTTTAACAGGAATGGAGTGGCATATGGCATTATCTCAAATTAGTCACCTTTCTATCTTAGTACAGATCGACTTTTGATCTCAACTTATGACTGTTATGCAGGATATATTGCTTAGAGCTTCCTTCTTTTTCTTCCTTTGACTTATTCAAACTTCCAAAATAGATTTAAAGCCTTATCTGTGTCTGCTTGCTCTTGTCCATACATATCAGTGTATGCCATCATCATCGGATCCACTGTATGCAAGAAGAAACAAGAGGTCACATTTAGCAAGCTGCTGAGCGTGCACTGAGAGCAAAAGATGCTCACTAATGCTGCTGTCAGCTCTCCTCTCTCCACATAGCTACAAAAAACTGCACAGGCAGGCTTCAGATGGCAGAGAGTTCTCTAGCTCTATCATTTGTGCCGAACCAGTAACAGCACGTTGTGCTCACTATCTTCAAAACTGAAAAATATTTACTAACAAACTTTCCCATTAAACATGAAACCTGGAATTAAATTTTAGCAGATGAGCTCTCTAAGAGGGATTGTTATGGTCAACAGAGGTGTAGCTTTAGATAAGATCATCCGCTGCCATGCTCACTGCTATATGTGGCTTATAATTGGAAGGGTTTTATGGATGAGAGAAGAATGGACATGAACTGTGTGACCAGGATATCTAAGGATGCAAATCCGGTAATCCCCGAGTACACTTATTTCCTTCCATGGTTTATGATAAAGGCACAAAGGGGTATAGCACTGCAGCAATTTAATTCTTATTCTCTCTTTGACATTAAAATTCAGCAAAAGACAGAAAAGCATTTGTGGCAGAGCAGCATATGAGAAAGAAAACAGCTCTTACTTAGCTGTAACAGCCTGTTATGTTTTAGGGAGACAGGGAACTAAGCTCAGTGGGCAAAGAAGCAACACTGCATGTTACGGGAAGACTCCTGAAAGGCAGCTACAAGACAATGTTAAGGCCATATACGGGATAAACCTTGAAATATTTTTAACTTTTTACCTTTCTGTAGCCAGCCAGGTATGGCACCCAGATATATCTGCATTGCACAGATTTGTGTGCAGATTTGTGCACAGGAATGCTTTGATTCTCTTCACATTAGTCTATGTGTGAAGTTATTCAGGAGTGTGTACTATGCAGTCATACCTTGCTGTAATTTAAATCAATCTGCACATCCTGACTTCCTCGTAAAGAATTACACATGTAAGTAAGATCGCCTCTGCTGCCTCCACTGCATATGAAAACAAAAACTGACCCTCAGCCCCATGCAAGACTGCCTGAACTGCTGAGGAGTGATTGCATGTAGCAAGTAGCAATGAATGACTGATACCCCACATGACACAAATCCTGCTTTGTTATATTTTGTTGTGCTAAGTCAGTGGGAGCTGGAGTTCTCGAGCATCCAGCCTTTCTACTAGGTTGATGCTTCAAAGGGCATCACAGCTACAAGTCCAAATAACATTGGTCACTAGTTTGCAGCCTGGTTCTAGTGATATGCAACAAATGGGCAATTTTCTATATACAAAGTAACATACCCAGTCACATAATTAATGTTCAATTTAAGGATCAACCTGGCCAGAGTGAGTATGCCACATTGTCACTGTTTGTATTAACTCACTGTTTAGCTGATCCTCACGCAGAACTGCAATGTGCTGCATCACCTGGTCCTTCTCCAGCATTCAAGCCAGGGTGCCTTCCTGCTGCTCTTCACTTCAGTTCCACGGGAAGGAAAGGAACGTGGTAGAAGCCATTCATAGGAGCCATTCACAGGTGGCAAGTGACGTTACCTCAGCTTACAAATTATTCTTCTTTCTCCTACAGCAAAAGATATCAGGATAAGAATTGGAATATCCTTTATATGATGCGAGTTGTACAGTGGTACCTAAAATTGGAATCATGGCTTCTCATAGACCTTACATTTAGATTTTGAAAACTGGAAGCAGTCGAGCATTTCCAGAGACAGGGACTGCTGTGAGACACCTTCCTCTTAGCTGTCCAGGTAACCAGTACAAACCTTTTGGCCTCCAAGGCAAACTGTGAGGTCCAGGTTCTCAGCTAGTTGTCTGTCTCCATGCTGGTATGTTTTTTTCCCGTTTGTGGTATTGCAGGAGATGCTTTGTTAATAAGACGCAGAATGTATCAAATGGCCTGGTATTAGATTACTAGTCACTTCTCTACCCATAGGATCAGTCATCATAAACCCAGCACAGGAGACTACAACAAGAACAGTAAAGCCAGAAAGTAGTTTGTTTGAATTAAATTTTTAAAATACTTTAAAAGGGATTTCTTGAATTTTGTTTGACACTGCCTCTGCAGCAAAGCAAATACCCACAGAAGCAATTCACCTTAGCCCTGGACACTCTATTCTTGTTAAAAGCCAGCTTCCTTTTTTGATACAGCAAATTTATGAGGACATATATATATGACAGAGGCTATGACAGTACCACAGGTCACAGCTGAAATTATTTTCCTCGCTCTTTGACACAAAGGAAGTAATTTGCAAGTGTTTATAGAGCAAATCGAAAATCCTCTCAAGCTCTTTAGATTCTTCCTTTAGCTTGTGTGTGTAACAGACTAAGACCTCATTTAGCATGTGATTTATGTATAAATGTGCAAATTATAAACACCATGCACAAAACAGATGTAGTTAGCGTGCAATGCTCCATTATTACAATAAAGTTTATCTTCAAGACTAAGTCCAATGGATTGGAAGGCACATACATGTATTTTATGTATAGATAAAATATAAAATATGTCTCTACAAAATATAGATAAAATTTCCAGGCAAAAGTGGATAGATCACAAACGTTTGTTTTTACAAGGTTAGACATACGTGTACCTAAAGATAAACATTTGGAACTGATTTTGCCTGTCAAAGTGGTTGACCGGCACTTCCTAAGGATGTGTAATACTTAAAAATGTACAAATAGATGGACGTATACATGTTTAGTTTGTGTTCAGCAACCTCATTAATTAGGAAGACAGACTTAGATTCCACTTGCTCTTAAGTTGCTCAGTCTTTTGTACTAAAGATAATAAGCTTCACAAAGCCAGCTAAAAATAGAAGCCCAACACAAACCAAAGCTAAAAATACACTGCATGCAAAACCAGCATTTGTAATTTACATAGAAAAGGCCAGCCTGCCCTCCGCTGCAACGCCAGTGTTTACAGCAGGCTTTAGAGATGAGTGTGGATCAGGTGGACTAGAGAGCAGCAATGGGAACTCTGACATTCAGGGCAGCCTCGGCTTTCTGCAAAGCAGGAGAGCAGTGGGAGCATTATCAGCTGTATGTCTCAGAAAACAAGGAATTGTCAGAGAGAATGCAGCTGAAAGAGCGTGATGAGATCTAAAGAGGCAAACAAAGGAGTCAGTCAGTGAAAGAGAGAGATTTTACCTGAAAAGCAGCAGAGGATGTTCTTACTGTCTCAGTACTTTGGCTATTATTGGTGGCATAAAGGTTATCCAGGCTTCGAGAGATTAAATATATTTACCAGAAACAGCAAACAGTCAGTATATAAAATTCTTAGACTTCCAAACACTTTATTCAGAAGGTCAAAAACTGTTTTAGTAACTCTTCTGGAGATGGACAGATGAGAAGAGTGAATTTCAGCTATGCTGAGCACCACCTGTCTCACTGCCTGGGCTTCCAAGCAGCAGCTCAGCAGGTCCAAGTAGGGCAGTAAGCAGGGGACAAGTAGGACAAAGTAGATTTAGGAACTTTTATGGAATTCAAGCAATCTGACTGCGGTCCAAAGAGCTTAAGGGTCTTTTCCTAGATCACACAATAGCACATTAGCAAACTGCAAACACCTCGGCTTCCAGCCAGAAGCAGTCCTCCATCCAGCTGCGTAAGTGAACAGAAGAGGGAGTTCTCAACTGAAGGAATTTTTCCCCCAGGCTTCCCAGCTAGGCTTGATAGCTAAAACAATTGAAAACATTTACAATAAAATGAAAACAATACGTAATTGTATTGTTTTGCAGCTGTTCTGGTGCCAAGAAACAGCTTCAGTCAGGAAACCAGTTGTAAATTTGACAAGGAAGAAGCAAAGATAAGTAGGATGGCTTACTTGCCAGGAGAGACTCCCTAAATTTAACTGTCTTGAACTTTGTGAAGGAAGAGGAGGCCTTCTGCCCAGTTCAGCCCTGCTCTAAATGAAAACCCAGCGAAGTCAAGGTGCCACCTATTATAAGGTGCATTGTGACTTAAAACATCCATAATAGAGTACAAGAGTCAGATATGGATGATAACAGCAGTTTTAAGTCTAGGTGTATTACGTATACTGAATGTTTATATACACTGAATTTTATTCTGGTGACAACAACAAAAAAATCCCTACCTAATATCAATAAGCAAAGGAGCTTTTGGAAATCCTGGCTTGTATTGAATACTGTCTGAGTAAAGTATATACTTTACTGAGTAAAGTATGGATGCTCATGGCTTTGTGGGTCACAAGCTAATGTCACAAGCTTGTGAGCTCATGGCTCACAGGCTAATAAAATCTGTGACAGTAAGCTGTAACAACCTCCAGGGCAGCTGTTATCAGAACAATGGTTTCAGCACTCAACTGCAAAAACACAAATGAAACCCACAAAACAAACAACAAAACAACATTCATCTGCATGCTTCTTAGCAATAAAATAAACCACATGAATGAAATAGGAGGGCTGAGGTTTGATTGAAAGAGGAAGGGGTCAGAGGAATGCAAGAAAGGACCTTCAGAGAAAGAGAGGGGAAAGACTTTGCAGTGGAAAGGTGAAGGGGAGGTTGACATGAGATGGACAAAGGATGGATGAAGCAAGAACAGGAATTACAGATTATGAAGGAATTATCCGAGTGCTGTAAACACCAGGGAGGAAAAAGAATTGTTTAGGGTGGTTCAGTGATATTTCTAGGAGTGATGGGATGCAGATAAGCAAGTGGAAAATGTAAATTATAAAACAGGAAACATTTCCTGACCGTGAAGTCTAATAGACTGTGGAAAGTCTCCTGCGGGAAGTGGCAGGGGCCGCTTAGACAATTAAAACTAGACTAGACAACATGCCTTAGGGCATAATCATACCTCAGAGCACAGACAACTGACTGGATGTGACAAGTATCTTTCCTACTTGCTTCAGAAACGAAGTCCAGAGGAAAAAAAGGACCATTGTAAATGCAATGTCAGTATACATAGGGAGGAATCACACCTGAGTCAAACACAATACAAATACAAATTTTCCTTGTAAGTGACATAGGGTATGGCAGTTTGGTTTTTCCCGAGCCATATCTATACAAACATCCTGCTCTCTAATGTTACGCTACCACCACCCAAAAAAAAATCTCATTTACAATAAACATTAATACATTATTTGCTCAGGAATTCTGCAATGTTTAATTGACTTATTGTTTAAGTTTTAACAGCTTTAAGGACTTATTTTTTTTAAGGATTGTTGAATTTATGTCCTCATTTTGCTGATACCATCCAGCTTTCTAAACCACAGCTATGATAACTACTTGACAGAAAGCCACTATTTCTTTATTAGTTTGTAGACGCTATGAGTTTTGCAAAAAGTCTGCAAAAATTAGACACTGTTTATTTGGTGTAGGATGTTGAATCTGTCAAACACCTACCAACTGGCAACCAGTTTTGTGGTTGCTTTACTCGAGAAGGGTTGGACTCAGACTTAGCCACGAAAGGCTCCATACCCCACTCCCATTTCACTCCTCTGCTACGGAGGCACTGTATCAGGACCACTGGCACTACTACTTGATGACAGTTATCTTCACTCCATGCTTCCCTTGGTCTCCTTTGATTTTCGTGCTTCCACACTCACAGCCTAAAAGCTTCACAGCCTTCCACCCAATGAACAACATACTTGCTGCACTTACTCCTGATTGTGAATCATATTGACCGTAAAATTTAATTTGCACTGCAGTAGTGCCTTGATGTCTAATTCATTGTACAAGGTAGTATACAATCCCAGAACAGCAAACGTTGTTCTGAGGTTTACAGTAAACAGCTTGGAATACCTCACATGACCTTGCTTTCTCACCTCACAACTTTCCTCTCTGGTCTGGCTCACACCCCAAAGAGCCTGAGGCAAGATCTTCGCCGGTGGTTAACTTCTCGTGCTGCATAAATGCTACCATCTTTGAACATTTGCAATCGGGTCATGTCCACAGTCCAGTGTTTTTACCCCTGAAGGCTCACGCACATATAACTTGCAAAGAAAGCCCACTCCTGACACAGAGTGCTGGCACAGAGACTGTTAAAGCTTATACCTATATTGAAGCATATGCATATGCTTTTAACAATCTAGCCACTGGAATAAAGCAGAGTCCATAAACTTGTTTCCAGTCATTCATCTATGCAAACAGCAATCTAATCAAGCATTGCCAAGATTGGCTCACCCAGTATTTGCTAGGCATTTATTGATTAAAGTATCAGTTAAGGCACTTGGTGACACTCTGTGCTTGGAACTTGTGGTTTTACTGTTTCCCAGTGAAGAAAAGAAATCACTCCGTGCCGCTGAAGGCTTGGCCACGGGATTGTGTACACAGGCCTGAAAAAATGCAACAATCAATTTTAGAAATGACAGGCTTAAAGTTAAGTCTTTTATATGTTTAGAAGTGTGTCAAAAAAAAAAAAAAACCACCCTTTACTGAAAACAATTTTTTTATAATTACAAAATCTTAATGGAACGACAATGTAGAAATCAGTATCTTGCAGTATGAATGTAGCAGTATGCCTTGTTTTCTTGTCTTCTCAATATTACTAAACATTTGCTAAACTAGAACATGAGTCAACATTATTTGTAGTTTTCAGCACAAATAAGAGATTAACTTAAACAGCATAATTTTTTCAAGATTAAATTCTTTGCCACGTGCTCATCCAAGATTCTGTTTTTGTTAGTACTGCTAGCCACACGTTACAGCCAAGTTCTATTTATAACTTTTCTAAATACTAAGTAGGAGAATGGCACTGCTATGCTATTGATGTGAAGATAAGGTGTTAAAAGCAGCTACGAGCCTTCTAGCAGATGTGTTATAAAAGGTCACAGATTACAGTAATTAGCAGTCTAACGACATGTAGGACTCCAAAACAACACCTATAAATTGATTAGCCTACTTACTAAGTTGTATGTCATTTACTAATAACAGACAAGCAGAAATTATAATATTAATCATGATTATTATAGCTTTTGAATTGTTATTGATCAAAGTTAAATAGGCAAAGAAAACCATTCCCATTAAAATCCATTTACAATGTATTATTGTCATAAATAACCATTGAAGCATGCTGCTATAAACAAAACAGTCCTTATTTTCCCAAGCAAATCAACTCAGAGTTCATTTAAATCAGCTCTCTTCCTCTGAATTTCCCATTTCTGGTGACAATGAAAAAGCAAGATTAAGATGTTCTATTGAAAAATTCTGCAACCCTCTGTGGGGAATCACAGCTGTGTTAGAATGAGGACTCCTCATTTCTTATGAAAAATGAGACCCTTTGTTTCTTAAAACTTCTCACTGCATGAGCTATCTTTAAAATTGTTTGTGGAACAGTGAGACACGTCATCTTACATAAGTGAATTTCCAAATAAATGAAACAATGACAAGTACAGATAAGATTATTTCTTTTTTTTTAACGCTACATAACTTGAGGTGTGGAACCTTTGCCTCAAGGATTTGCTGAAGCTCAGTTTTCAAAAACAGATTATTCAGAACCACAACCTATCCAGAGTTCTAATACTTCATGCTAGCACAGTTTTTGGAAGGAGTATCAACAGGTGTAAAGTGATTCATTTAAGACTAGAGGGAGATCTAAAGAGGACAGAGCTGCTGGCTGCAGGATTTTTATGGTGTCTCCTGCAGTATTTAATATTAGAAACCAGCTGGACTCACTGGATGGTGAGCTCCATATTGCTAAGAAATCTCTAGCAACATGTTAAAGATTTATTTACAAGCAAAGCATTCAATTCTTACCAACCATCAGCATTTTTATGTGTAAGAGATGAGACTGGGACTTCTTATCCTAATAAAACTGGTCAGACAAAACTAAGTTGTTGACAAAACTGTGGCCAATCATAACTTCATCACTCCCAAAGGATCCCAAGTTGTGAATCCATTTCACATCTGCTTTTTGGAGGGACAATCTGTATGGTTTTTACTCGTCTAATTCTGAATGTCTTTTTTTTTTTTTCAGTAGGATACCACTGGTGCTATCAGTCTCAGAAGGAAGAGCAGCCCACCTGTAAAGGTACTGATAAACCATTTATTTCTGTAACCACATTAGTGTTTGAACTCTCCTGTTTTGCGAAAGGACTCTATAGCAATAATGCAAAAATGCATCCAACTCAGCATTTGATGCTGCACAATCATAGTGTATGTAAACAGAAGTGCAAATAGAATATCTAAAGAGGGGTATTTTGAAAAAGGCAGGGCTTGCTCTACTTGTTTCGTTTCAGCACAGGATGATGTTGCAATTAGAAATATGTAATCCAGAGATAATCATTCCAGTGTGTTGGGTATAGACACCTGTTTAGATTCTTAAGGACAGAGTTACGAAAGCTTCTGATCAACCAGCTAACCTCAGTGATAGTTCACTTTTTATTTTACAGCCATTTGTATGTGCACATTCTCTTACTAAGAACATTCTTGAAGCATATTAATATTTTTCAAAACTACACAAATTATGTGCCAAGAAAGTTCCTTTTTTAAATTCCCACTACCCAAGGACCTTTCTTTTGAAGATATCTTCATTTTCCCAAGCAAGAATATAATATCTGTTGGGTGTTTTGGCTTAATTGAGCATTTGCAGTCTAAAAAAAAAACAAAACAAAACAAACAAACAAACAAAAACCAACATATTTTCTTTGTATTTGAATAGATCCTCGACAATGGCATTTAATAGATGCCACCTGCAAAGGAAGCTATCAGTCTCCTATCAATATTGTCACCAAAAATGTCATTTATGACAAGAGCCTGCAGCCACTGAATTTTGAAGGTTACGATGTGAAGGGGTCTTCCAAATGGAACATCGAGAACAATGGACACACAGGCAAGTACTGTCTAATACATCCTTACAGGACTTGTGCCTTCACTCTGAACTTTCCATTCATTTCTTCCATGTCTTGGGCAAGTTGTTAGATATCACTACTGCTATTTAAAAGAAGTAAAGAAGATGGTATCCCTATATTTCAAACAACTAGCTGAAATCTTTACAGATTGCCACCTGTTTTCTTCACGTGCAGCAGTAACGTAACGTGAGGTTGTTGATCAGCTATTTACTGATTCAGTAAACAGTGAATCTGTGAACAGCAAACTCCTGAACCCACTCAACACTGATTCACTTCCTCTTCTTCGCTAGAGGCATTAACGATGATGCTTCAACAATATTACACCAAATTACTTTAAAAACAGCAACAACAACATACAACAAAACACCAGTTGTCTTTTTTTAAGTTATCTATAGGCATTATTAAAATCTCAGATGCGTTGTTTCACCTGCCAAATTCTTAAAATGGGAAGTTGCAAGTACTAAATATATTTGTAACTTAAAACTGAGGGGTAGGTACAGAGACAGCTGAATAGATTTTTCAAAACCAGATTCTAGTTTAAATCACCAGTATTTTGACAAACCACAAGAAAAATCCATGACTGATTTTTCACCAATGTACGGGCTAATGACTTTTGCATTACAGAATGATGTTTTAGAATCTCTCTATCACAGTCACTGTGTGCAGTAGTGTCTTTTACACACAAAACTATATTCTTAAAGATAGGTCAGAACTTTCAGCTCAAAACACACAAAAGGATCAGGGTTTTCATCTCAGCTTTTTAGATTTATTTCAAATGCAACCAATTCCTGTGCTACAACAAGAACAGTGACAGCGCTATTGCTTAAATTACAGCAGCAATTAGAAACTCTCTGTGAGATTAGATTATCATTATGTTCACTGATGTGCAGATCGTAAAGGTCAGTGTCTCCAAGGTCTTACAATCTCAATAAACCAATCCAACAAAGATATGTTAACATGCATTTACAGATAAAAAAGTCAAGTAACTAAGTGACACAGAAGCTTCCAGCTCATTTGGAATTCAGAATCAAAATGAAATCACCAGGGTTTTAATCCAGGTCAAAACAATCTTCCCTGGAGGGGAGAAAAAAAAAAAAAAAAAAAGTACTGGACTTACTGTAGAGAACTTAGTCATATTTTAAAGCATAGCCCAGATGTCTCAAGCACATAATATACTTTACACGTGATGGTGGTTTACAGATACAAAATATTTTCTTCTAAGAAAATTTTATTTTGCTGTTAACAAAGAAAGACATGAAAGTCAAAAAACACCTTCCCAAGCCATAGCACTGCTCTGCCTTTTTCCTCCATTTTACAGACAGAAACAAGGATCATCAAATGCATTTTCTTACAGCTGCAACCGAAGTCATGGGTCAGCCAGCTCTCCAGGTTCACAGAGCAAATCCTAGGTTGAAAAGGGAACAGAAGCTCCAAGTACTATTCCACAGATGAGGGATGCCCAAATGCTGTTGCATATTACTGGAAAGTGGGCCGTGATATTTCTCCTTTTCATCTCTAATTAATCTCAGCTAACATTTTTTAAGAATTCAGTTTCTGTAGGGTGAAACTTCTAGGAAACTTGGTATGAAAAACCAAGCCAGAACTTCAGGATAAATTTGAATCACGGGAACATGCATCTCTTTAGTCAAGTATTGTATGACTTGGATATATTTTTTAAACTATTTATTTGTTTTCTCCAGTTAAAATAACATTGAGCACATCCCCTAAAATCGGAGGTGGAGGTCTGAGAAGAAAATACAGAGCAATAGAACTTCACTTCCACTGGGGAGCCCCAGAAACGGTGTACCTTCCTGGGTCAGAGCACAGCATAGATGGAGAAAAACAAGCTATGGAGGTAGGTGGCACTATCTGTGGGTTTGGGCCATAACTCAAGAGCTCTACCTCTATATTTTCAAGATACTATAGGAAGAAAAGCATGGGCCAGTTCTCCTATGAATGCCCAGCAGTGGAAATAAAGAACTGATGACACATTGCTTACTAATCAGAGCACACAGGAAAACCTACTGGGTTCATACAGCAAAGGCACAGAAAAGATAACAGATTTGCACTTTTATAGCCTTTTGGAATATTTTGAAGCCTGTGCAGCTTGAATACCCTCTCATGCTGCTTATTCAGACTATATATCCATTTCTGGGACTGTAACCACGAATTGACCTATACAACTGAGAAAAGTATTTTCTCCAAGTTCAGTTGCAGGTGCTGGTAGGAATGGATTGGTAGGTTCAGAGCCTCTCCCCAGCCTGCGGGCAACAAAGCAGCCCTGGCTCCACAGCCTAAGTGCAGAGAAGCAGGCAGGCTACACTGAAATAACACCTAATTGCCCTCAACTATTTTGTTACAGCTTCACATTGTCCACATAAGAGAAGATGCTGTGGATATAGATAGTGCAAAGAAAATTCCAGATGGGATAGCTGTGTTAGGATTCTTCATAAAGGTAGGTGCCCAAAATTAAAATTCATTATCTCAACTGTACTGGTAAGTTGGCTGAGTTGTGTCGATGTTACATTATTCCTAAACCTTTCGCACTTCCACAGAAGTGCAGTGGCAGCACCTAGCTCCTTTATCTTTTCCTCCATTCTGTTTGCTGCTGTTAGCTTTGTAGTTCTCGTCTGTTTTATTCATTTTATTTAAAATAACCTGTTGCTGAGAAGTGCATGATATGGAGTAAAAATATTTCTATTTCAGGTTGATGAAGAAAATAAAAACTACGCTACTCTAATAAATGAATTAGATAATGTTCAATACAAAGGTAAGACATGGGCTGCTCAAAAAAACAGTGTGTATATACTTCAAGCACACATACTACAAGTAATTCAACATCCAATCCTGTTCTAATCACAGTAGAGATTGTCACATGAAATTCAAAGCTGAAGGATAAAGTTTAGTCTGTCAGGTACTCAGAGCATTGCAGGCAGGAGGAAATCTGGTTCTCCCTATTTGCAGATGAAGAACACTGAAGCACCACAATGAGCATTTCTTTCTCTGCAGAAGGAAGCAAAGTGAGAAGAAAAATATGCAGAACATTTTAACAAAGATAAAATGTTTTTAACAGAAGAGGTGTTCAGAACCTGCAGCTGGTAGTCAGGGATTCCACAAGCAAGGCAGTGCGGCTGCCCCAGTCAGCCTGGGAAGAGAGCAGGGGATGAGGCTTTACATAGCCACTAGCTGCAGTCACATTTGAAGCCAGGTGTGAACAATACCTTCAGCTGCACGTGTTAAAAGCAACGTTTCTGCATGCTTTGCCTAGGGAAAACATCGCAGATGGACCCTTTGCCACTGAGTTCCCTTATTCCACCTGAAGACGATCTTAGAACGTACTATCGGTATGACGGCTCCCTCACCACTCCTGACTGCCACGAGGGTGTCATCTGGACAGTGTTTGAGAAGCCAATTGAACTCAGCATTTCCCAGGTAAGTCACAGAGGGATGTTCTGAAAGATTTTAGGTTAGAGGTTGGACTCAATGATCTTGAGGTCTCTTCCAACCTAGACAATTCTGTGATTCTGTGATCTGCTTGCAGTGATTTTACCCTGTGCCCACCTGCTCTCTCAAATGACCCGTTAGCTGCTCCACTGCTCAGAGAATCACAGCATAGAATACGACAGAGCATCCTGAGCTGGAAGGGACCCACAAGGCTCCAACTCCTTGCTCCATGCAGGACCAACCAAAAATCAACCCCTGTGTCTGAGAGCACTGTCCAAACACTTCTTGAACTCCGGCAGGGTTAGTGCTGTGACCACTGCCCTGGGGAGCCTGTTCCAGTGTCCAACATTCCCCTTAGTGAAGAACCTTTTCCAGCACTGTGTTGCTATTACAAACATATGTATGCTTGGCATTAATCTAAACCCACACACTCTCTAGTGCCAGTTATGACAACATCACTTTATAACCCTGTTAAATTATCTCAGAAAATGGCAGGAAAGGAGAAGGAAGGGGAAATGATGACATGAAAAGCAAACCAAATAACCCCATAGGTAAACACCTTGTTCAGTGCTTTGTCAAGAGCACTTCCCCTGTATTCATCTGCTTGCCCCAAATTTCACTGCCTTTCTTGTCTTATAAGTATTAGGATACCAAAAAAGTCCAAACTTTGAATCTATCAGCATCAGCTTATGCAACCCATTTTTGTCCTACAAAGAGGAACAGGAGACTGAATCACGACTGCCTCTAAAATATAGATTGTTCAGCTGACAGAGTACACAGTCAAACAATTAAGATGTCCTGGAGTGGGTTCTGAGCAATACTATTTGGGCAAGAGCCAGCGATTTTATTTTAGTTCCTTATTTGCAGTGTATTCACAGTCACTTCAGTCAAAGGGCAATGCTCAGCCATACACAATGCTAAGCCACATGGTACAGGAGTGAGCATCTGCTCACTCCGTGACAACTTCTAAGCAGTTAGAAATTTGGAGCAAGGAAAGAAATGAGGCACGTAATCCTAGCCCTCTTACTTCGTGTCTCTGTGATGTGACGGACAAGGACAGGGCTGTGCGTCAGGAGGACTGCTCTAATGAAGTCCTTGAGCTGGACAAAGCATTCAGCTCACACAGAAAGGAAGCCCACGTTATTTCCGAGGTTAAAGAAGTTGGTGGCTTCTGGCAGTAACCTCCATCATGATGTTTCCTGCAAGATTAATGCATCCATACAGGTCAAAACAATGCCACGAAGTAAGGCACAGTCGCTATAAAATATCACAATTTTCACTGTTTCACAGGAAAATAATTTAACAATTTTTATTTATTTATTTATTTTCAATGTCTGCAGGTTTCTCAGTTCGCAAGAGTTCACTTTGATGGGAAGAACTCAACATACATGACTGAAAATTTTCGGCCTATTCAGTTACTTAATGAACGATCTGTGTATTGGTCCAGTGCCAGCACCCTCCTGCCTCCTGCTAAGGTTTTAATGTTGGTCCTGACCCTTACGTACATCCTGAGTTCTCTTTTCCAGTGAACCCTTCTCACTTTTTTTTTGGCCAGTTGTTTTTTTCTATCAAGTCTTCTCTTTAACTGCCAACTCCTGAATTAGACCTGAATACAGAATGTTACCTTTTTCCTCCATACACTAACCAACAACTCCTGTTGCTGCTATCACATAAAAATTAAATCCATTGCAACTAATTGCAAGAAATTCTAAGGAACTGTAAGAGAAAACTATGAAGAGTCTAATTTAAAAAAACACTTAAGAAAATATTAGGATGGATTATCTTCTGTATATCCTGTAACACAACACTGGAAGGACACTTTACAAGCTCTACAGAGGACTTTCTGAGGAATCTGTTCTTAAGTGCCTGTGAAGGTTTTTGTCTGGAGTACGTTTACATTCAACACTGCAAGTCAGGAGGACAAACATCTAGAGTAATTCTTATCATGCCTACATTGGCCTATGTGAAGGTACAATACAGAGCATAAAATGCTCACACAGTTGAGCAACATTTGGGGTCATTCTACCTAGCGATGTGGCAAATTTCATCTGTACTACCACATTTTTTCCACCTTCTTCTTTCAGAATATCTAAAGTTAACTCTTAGGTAAGGATACCGGATTCCTTGTATCTAAGCTACTGATTCTGGATTTCAATTTCTCTACTAAGCCTATTTATTCAGCCTAGTACTGCATCCTATTTCAGGATGCCCATGGTAAATTGATGTGCCAGAAGGAAAAAGGGGAGCTCGTCTGCATATACCAATTGCACACCTGTGGAAATTCTCTCTTAGGAGGGCCATGGGTGAAGCCTGAGACTTTGATGCTCCTTTACATTTCTTATTTGAATAACAAAATGGGACAGCTCAAGTTAAAGTCTCATTCCAATATCACATTTTAGAAGCTTTTAAATTTCAGTTTGAACATTTCAGTGTGAATATTTCCACATGATTTGTTTTTAGAATAACAAGCCTGTAAAATATTTACATATGGTTAACATTCATAGTTTTTGCAAGAAGATTTTGATTTGAATTGATTTCTTCAGATCTCACCCAGTTACTTACAGAAAAGCTCAATATATTGGGAAATGGGATTTCCTTGTGCTATTCTAGTTCCCTCTCTGAAAACAACTGTAACTGACTGTTTTCTTAGCTAATGCCATACAACATGTGCAGCTACTTTGAGAATTCTAAGTTTTGGCTATGCCAAAATAGAATTTTAAGCTAGTGGACTTGTACTATTTTCTTTAGAACAATATTTGCAGGGATGACTCTACGCTATGGCGATATAGTCATTTTCAGGAAAATCATGACACTGTGACTAACCACAGCGCACCAAAGGAGAAAAAATATTTTCATATTTAACAATCAATAATATAAGCTTGGAACAATGTAAAAGCAAATGCACCTTGTTACATTTAGAGGAATGGTTAGGACCTAACTGTATTTTTAGATAACTGAAAGCTTTGAGAAGGCAGACATAAAGATTAAAACTGAACAGACCTACTATATTCTCATTGCCTCGAGTTTTTATTTCTTTTGGTCCATGCTGAAGAAGACCCCACACAACATCCATTGAGAAAGGGAATGTGACTTTTTTTCTATTTCTCCACAAGAATAAGGGTTGGGCTTCCTTTTTCTCAGGGTGGTTTTGGGGGAAAGGAGGGATTTAAACTACAGTGGGATGCTACTGATGTCAACAGGCTTCTGGAGCTTTTACTTCATAGTGGTCACCAGAGTATCACTCTTCCCCTGACAAAATTGCTTTGAGTAGAGCACCTTGATAACCAGACCTGGTGCACACTTCCAGCCCATTAGGTAGAGGTCAATCAAGTTTCTTTCAGGAAACAGTACCATGGATTTACCCAGTATAACTTCACCTCTGTACAACTTACCTACTTATCTCGCTCTGTTGAGCATCTCTTATTTCATTACATTCTTCAACATCCTGCAAGTACAGAATTGCCAAGAAATTAAGAGGGAAGATGTTTGAGGTTGTTTTCCAAGATGTAATAAAAAGACATATCTGAAAGGCTCATCGTTTTATTGCTCTTTCAAGGTTTTAGAGCAACATCATATACACCATGATCACGTACGTTAAGTCCCATAGAACTGGGGATCTCCTATTTTAAAAGCCAGAAATGTGAATACTGCTCAGGCCGCCGCCACTGAGAATACCTTTTGCATTAAACAAGCCCCCTGTATCTGCTAGGAGTACTGAGTAAGAGCCCATCATCCCTCTCTTCATTCAGATTATTTCCTAAGTTCAATAAATAATTCTCATTTCACAGGCCAGCTCCCTTAAGGGTGATCACAAAAACTAAAGAGCACCTGGGGTCAATTGCCATTTATTGCCAGTAATTCACAGAGCAAATTCCCACTATTTTGAGCCTCAGTTTATGATGCGGATACTGAGGAGCAGTTACTTTATACCACTTACTTACTACAAGGGAGGATCTTATTTGCTATGAAACATAATAAAAGATGACTAAGAGGAAGAAATGAAGAAAAAAACCTGCTGAAAAGGTTAGTTCCCTGTAAGTACACTTCTGCATAAACCCCCAGCATGAATAAAATCTAAATCGACAACCATTTTTACTGAGTGCATCTGAATTCTTTGACAATGAAGAAAAGGGAAATGTAGGTTTTGTTGTTGTTGCTTGTTTTTATATTGTCTAGCTGCAATTTCTTCCAAAAGCAAAATCCAAATCTTAAAAAAAGACAATCAAACAACATCAAAGAAAAAAAACTCTAGATATTTGTAAAAGTTCCTTGCAGATGGAGCATTAAAATTGCTCTCTCAAAATCACTTTACCAAAAAAAAAAAAAAAAAAAAGAAAAGAAAAAAGAAAAAGAAAAAAAAATGTTTGTTTAAAGCTCCCAGTCTATCTATGCAGATGCTGCATATCTTTACTGACCGCATACTCGGCAACGTCCTCTTCTCTTCTGGACAAAGATTTTTATTTTCTCATGTTTTTAAGCGTGATCCACATAGCTGTAGTATATGATATTTTTGTTTCATAAGGATTAAGCAATGGGGGTCCATTCATTTCCATTTGTGCAATATAGATTATTAATCCCCTCTAACTGAGGGTTCCCCGACAACAGCTCCAGGTCCATATACTTAGACTTTTCAGACACTCATGTACATCTGTTTATCTCAGCTGTTACAGTAGTTCACAATGACAGAAGCTTTTTAAAGCTTCTAAACCTCACAAGGCTTCACAAGTTCAAGCCGATCTGTGAACATCATCTGCGTTCAAACTGGAAATTGGTAAAATGCATGCAGCACAACAGCAGTGGCCCACGGGAGCTACAATCTGCATCTGTGTCAATGATCTAGTTCAATTTGTTCTTTGTCAGAGGCTGCTCTTTGCAACCAGATAGACACATGCTGTTCTGGTTCTGAATATGACAATTACAGGGCTAGAATTAATGAAGTAATCAATACAAATTGACAGCAAAGCTGTTCAATTAAAAAGCAGTAAAAGACAAGAGGGACATTTGGTTTTCTTTTGTGTAGGTAGTTATGCAAAAGCAGTTTGTTATTCAGGTAACCTCAGGCACAGATTTTCAAGAACTGTAATCAGCACTGAATTTGCCATGAACTATCTTCCATGCAAAGAAAATAGTTCTACTCCCGAAGAACAATAGCCAAGTTGTGATATTACAGGAAAGGACTGGGGGATGAATACAGGTATTTAGCAAGACCTATACAGAATAGTATTTTTCCACTTAGAGAGACTTAACACAAAACTATGCTAACACATTTTACACATATTGGGACCAGAGTTGAAGACCACTTAGCTTACGTGACTAAAAACAGGGGTATAATAGAAAATGAAACAATACTGAAAACTAAAATTCGCTAGAGTAGTGTATTTTAGGTTTAAAAGAAAACAGACAAGCAGAGGCTTTGTCAGTTTAGACTACCATTTGCATTTCAGAGCACTGGGAGAAATGAATTTAGCATGTTCAACAGTGAAAAGTCCTCTCATAAAACATTCTGGGAGATTACAACAAGACTGGAAGTAGATTTGCTTATGAGAACTCTGTCCTTTGGAGGCAGCAGCATTACGGCTCATGGTTTGCCTGTGATGGCTGTCACGATAGAATCTATTTAACCATAAACTTGAACAACAGTTAGGAACTCACCAGACTTCAGCAGGTCTTCTCCTTTCTAAAAGTCCAAAGCAGTCCTTCTCCAGTTTTGATCAGACTTTGATCTGGAGGAGGTCTGCCTTCTTCAGTCTGCCCTTTGGAGGTCTGAGAGATGGAGAAACAGATCTGCCACATGAAAACAGGTCCAGCTTCACAACTCTGTGACAATCGGTGGAGAGAGGGAGGCTGCTAAAAAAAAAATAATAAAAAAACCTGTACATTTTCAGCAAGGTATTTTCTCAGGAAATATAAAGAGACAAGGAAACCTACTCATTGCTCATCAGAACCTTATTTACATAATCCACAACAAATTTTAACAAACTTGCCAGCTTCATAGTATGGTTACCTCTTCCCTGCTGACAAAACAAAAGCTCAAAATGAACTTTAATTCTGTACAGAATTAATTTTCCAGGCTTTTTGCTTTTTCCTTTCCTCCCTCATCCATCTAGACGTGGACTTCACAGGAAAGACGACAGCATTTGCCTGCACAGCTAGCAGCTTTTCATTTAAATGAATGCCATATACAATATTCCTCCATCTGAACCCCCCCCCCCCAAAAAAAAAAGCTTAACTAACTTCACAGACTGATTCTAAATTTTAATAAATGCATTAGTATGAGGGGTAATATAAATCACCTCTGATCCAGAAATGAGGAGGCCCATTTTCTGCCACTGTACATTGCACTCCATGCCGAAAAGGGTGACACCTGAAGACATAAGGCTCTACTGAACTGAGTTAAAAGTGTACTTGGTGATTTTCTTCCACTAAAAACTACAAATGACATGGGATTTATAGAAAATTTAGTTACTGTGAAACAAATGCCACAATAGCCCCATCAAGCCAAAGGCAGCCGTGAGAAAAGCTTCACGTAGGAGCAAATTATTTGTTTGTGCACGTGCGTGTACGTGTATTTGTGTAAAAGCCAAGAAGTTTCTAGTCAAGATGCACTAAAGAAATCCATGATGAACTTGAGAGCTGTAGAATCCCACCATGTCACCCAGTCTGAGGGGCTGCACCCCACCAACATAGTGTGACTGACCAAGACCCTGAGGATAGAAGCACCACACATGGAAACATGCCTCAAAAGGATCTGAAAACTGCCTCACTCTTATGCTGCATTTGCTGCTTGCTGCTTACAGCGTCTTACAAAAGAGGTGAGAGTCACTGTGGCTGTTTCAACATGAAAAGGTGTGCTGTGAGGAAGCAGCCAAAGGCACCAGGATGTCCATCTGGGAATGGGACACTCAGTCCCCGAGGCAGTGCTCAGCCTGACGCGTCTTTTTGAACCTTGTTTTTGTCAGTATTATTTCCCCATCTGTAATCTCCTTTGCTGACAGGAATGACTCACCATTTTGCCGGTCACAGGTTGTGGGAAGCGGTGGCATGGTCGGGCTGCGGCTGTGCCCGGCGTGAGGTGAGCATGGCGGTGAGGCAGGCAGGTGGGCAGCAGTACCCACTGCTGCCAAAGCTGGGATCAAAAGCCAGGTAGGGCAGCCCTGCCACTTACAAAATGAAGTGAAAGGGGAAAAAAAAAGGGGGGGGGGGAGAGAAAAATAAAGGAAATATCCTCTCAGAATGGCTGTGCAGGGGGTGGCACCAGCAGGCCTCAAGCGCAGCCAGCGGCCATTTTCTGAGGGTCCCCTCCAGGCAGGCTGAGGGGAGCCCCCGTCTGCATCCATGCCAACCCCTCACTGCAGGCCTCAGCTGCAGCTTACCTCAGACAACAAAACCAACACGGCTTCTCCATCTCATTTCAGGTATTGTAACCCCACGGCTTCAGGTGACAAAAACATGGCAGCAAACATCAAACATCAAAAATTCCCCCTGGAATAGCAAACATTGGCTCAGGCTGGGAGGCAGGTGATGGCTCCCATAAAGGGAGGGGACATCTCCAGTGTGCTTTTAGCACGGTGTTGCTGGAGGAGGCCAACACCTCAAAGACACACATGCCAGTGCCCACCACCATGGGCTGCCTCTTATTTGCACCCATTTTCAAACTGCTTAGCACTAGGGCTGCTGCGTTACAGAAAACTTACCAGAGCCCCAAAGCAAACCGTGTTTAGATGTAGAGCTTAGGGATATGGTTTAGTGGGGACTGTTAGCGTTAGGTCAGAGGTTGGACTCGATGATCTTGAGGTCTCTTCCAACCTAGAAATTCTGTGATTCTGTGTGCTGCTGAGGGTCCTCTTCTTCCAAACTCCAAAACTAAATGGAGCTGTGAGAGACGCTGCCTCTCTGTTAGAGATGCTCGTTGGGGTTTTTGAACCTGAATCATTTGCAGGTTAAAAAGCAATCAAAAAAGTCTGGAGCAGTGAAAAGTCACCAGGAGTAAGAGGGCAGCACGAGCAGTGGGCATGGTGACCTTGGCAAGGCAGGTTAAAGCCGGGGTGGTTTGCCTGTTGTTGCCCTCCACACGTTTTCTGAACGCAGATATAATTCATCCAAGCCAACCACTGAGGATGGGAAAATGCAGTTTTCAATATAAAGTTTAAATTTCCTAAAAATAACCCCCTGGTTTGAGGCTTTTAATATCAGAAATAAATCCACTTATATCCATAAAACCTGATTATAATTAGTCGTACAAGTAAAATTATGAGTGTAATTAACTACAGCTATTAATTGAAATGCCTTCGGGACATTATGTCCCTTCTTGCAGTTGAATGCAATTTGCATTTAAAGTTATAATGTAAAGGATATAAGATATTTAGAGATTGCGATAAATTCAGATTATTTTCTTATCTTTTACCTCTTAAAGTCTTCTGAAGTGATTTAGACCTTTAGTACTCAAACAAATCTGATATAAAAATAACAAACAGCTAACACTATTTTAATACCTGTGGTATTTGCTTCCTTTTAATCTACTTCCATGTACTTAGGATTTCTCCACGCCTTTTCTTTTTTATTATGTGAAGGAAACCTCAAAAAAAAATATTACTTTGCATCTACTGAAATTACCTTCATGACAACATCCATTCACTTTCCAGGTTACTGAGGCTGCTCACTGTTCCAGCACGTAGGAGAAATACCTTGATTAGTTTATAGCTGTGTGTGGTTATGAGGAATTTATGTGAGAGAAAGACATTTTGCTGATTATGTTGATGTTGAGATTAAGGCTTTTATAAATCATAGTGTTTTTTTTTTTTCTATCAAGAAAGCTGTATCTTTGAAAACCTACAATCATCTGAGTTTGTTGCACATTACATGAAATGCTTTCTTACATGCAGTAGGCACAATCCAACAGTCCCTGTTGAACCTAGGAATAATCCTAAGAGAAAAACAGTAACCTACCTAAGTTGAAGGAAAACTGTTGCTTAAAAAGGGAGGATGAAGGCATGAATTCAACCACCAAGATGCTGACATTTTCCTCCATCCTGTTCAGCTGAAACTCTCTGCAACTGACAGCTGCTAAGGTTTCTGTGCAGCACTTTATTTCAAACACAACTAAGCAAAAGGAAGGATTCACTACTAAATCTCATGTCCTCAGAGAACTGCAGTGCCCCGAATCATTGATATAACTAAAACATTTTGGGGAACTGGATGTTATGACAGTCAGATGAAGACTATAAATGAGGTTGTAAGCAGAAAACTTGCCAAAGCTCCTTTTACTTCCCTAGCTTTACAGAAGTTGGAGCAGCAGAGAACACGGTGTCTTATCTAGCCATGCAAAAAGGACTCCGGTGTCACTCACATAAAAGAAAAAAATGAAATGGGTTTCTATTGTCCTGATTGTTATATTGCAGTGCCAGAGCATAAATGGGATGCTAGGGTTTCTGATCCTACAGATACGAATGCACATGTGATAAAATGTATACTGATACTGATTTATTTTTAAAAACAGCTATTAAAGCTCATAAACAGCATACATTCCGGTCACATGGGAATACATTTAGAAAGTCTGTGCAATTTCTGTTGCAACCACAGAAATATTTCAAGATTGTGACAGATAAGAGCTTGTAGGATAACAGATAATGATTTACAAATGCCTCATATAAAGCCTATTTAAAAAAAAAAAAAAAAGCATGCCTGAGTGTTTCTCAGCAAGTACCGAATGACCTTAGTAGCAGATCCGGCTGTTAGATAGAGATGTCAGTTTGGTGAAACCTAGTGGCTTGTTTCAGTAACATGAGGCAATGCACACAGAGGTTTGTAAAAGGGCTGTGCAACAGAAGCAGACACAGAAACAACTCTGACAGATAAATCTATTTACAAGGGAAAAAGAGCACAAACACTAAGCTGCATGAGGTGGAATTAAGTCTCCCAATAGCTCATTTTCTCCCTTTGACTAAGATATATATGGCTAAGTCAGTCACAACTTCTCCAGAAGACAGACCTTACTAGAGGTTTCAACATTCTGGTTAACCAGATTAAATAGAGGCTGAGAAAAAAAAAATAGCAAAGAAAGAAGACTGAGGTAGAAGTTGAGAGAGAGATAAAGTTTCTGTTACAAAAGTTATTTTGCAAAAGTTGCT